AATTTATAAGGAAGCTGTACAAGGTGTACTTCACAGAAAGAAAAACAACAAACAAACCAATGAGATAAGTACTACCGATTTTCATTAACTGCTGAAATATCTTGAATCATTTTTCAATATCCACTACAGAATATCCAGGAAATGAATGAGCAGCAAAAGAGAAGTTGAGAAAGAATAAAATAAGAAGAAAACAGAGAGAAAAAAGGCAGGATGAAGAGAAACTGCAGCAAATTAGGACAGCATAATTTTTTTTTTTTTTCTGTTAGCCCTTAAAAGGGAAGTTGGCATGTTCTGCTGTATGTTAAGTTGAACTGTGATATCTGCGCCTTTCAGCCCAACACATCCCATTTCAGCAAACCCTCATCACCTTTTGTGACAAGGCTTTTTAAGCAGCAGTGGATATTGACCCCCCCAACCCTCTTATTTTCAAAATGGGGCCTCGGAATCTAAACAGAGGGTTCATTTATAATGACATACTGACAATAATATGAGAAGATTGTTACATCTGAATTGTATTTTCCACAAAACTATAAAATAACTGGAAACTTACTACTTCTGTCTTTTCAAGAATGCCTCTGTGTTCAAACACAGGTAAAACATTTTCTGGGTTGATAAATTCTTGAAGTAACTTGCAAACTTCACTTTTCAATGGATCATGACATGCCATTCTGGCCAGACGCTAAACTGAAAAAGCAAAAATAAATATATATATCAAATTAATTATTTTGATGCAGTACTCTTCTGCTTTTTATGATCATAAGAGGCCAGCGGCCACACTGGCTTGTATACAGCAAAGCTTTGATATCTGTCACCAACTTAATTCCAGCTTTGATATCTGTCACCAACTTAATTCAGGAAATGTAATTGACACAGACAGTGCTTTCCATGTGGTTTATCACACACCGAACAGGCGATTGCTGAGAATGGCTAAAGCTTTAACAGTTAAAATCAACAACCCCCTCCTTTGTAAGCAGACAGACTTTATAATAAATCTGAAGTTACCCTGGTATTTCACATGACTACTGTGAACTTCCGGCGGCCAAAACACATCATGATGTTTTAAAAGAAACTATTTGCATTTCAGTTGGATATATTCCGTTTTTATGTTGATGTAACTCTGTATAACGCACCTGACGAGATACAGCGAAATATGCCTGGCAATACATTGTGCAATGTATTATTTGTGTCTGCATTATTTAAATTCTTTACGAAAAACATTGTTTTAAAATAAACCCACTTTTTTCTTCACATTTGTTATCCATTCAATTTATTGCAACAATACAAAATATAAATGTATGCTAAATAGTTGTGAAGCAATAATAGTTTTGTTAGTGATGATGATGATGATGATGATGATGATGATGATGATGATGATGATGATGATGATGATGATGATGATGATGATGATGATGATGATGATGATGATGATGATGATGATGATGATGATGATGATGATGATGATGATGATGATGATGATGATGATGATGATGATGATGATGATGATGTCCAACAAAGCAAACATATCAAACTAAGTGGTATCTGGGAAAGTGCAAGGGTTAACGGGCTTGGTAGTCAGCAGGTTAACTCTTTCAGGACGACATTTTGTCAGGGGTTTGGACGGCACTAATTTTGAGCTGAATAGTTTTATTTACTGCAACATGAGACAGCTAAAACTTCCTGAAGAGAAAGTATCGGCTGTACTGTGACATATAATATATCAAATTAAAGAGAAATGAATATAATATACTCATAAGCTATTTAAATCTCGGTAGTACAACAAGAAAACATTAAAATGACAGGACATTTAAGAAAGTTAGACACACATCAAGATTTTTTACACACAAAATGTTGCCCTACTTTGGGGGGGGGGGGGGGGGGGGGGGGGGGGGGGGGGGGGGGGGGGGGGGGGGGGGGGGGGGGGGGGGGGGGGGGGGGGTGGGGGGGGGGGGGGGGGGGGGGGGGGGGGGGGGAATTCAACAACACTGAAATTCCTTTCTAAGGTTTCACATGCCTTCTCTGTTCAGTTAGTCTTTATTTACAATGATGAATTTAAAAAATTTGATTTTATGACATTTTTGCACGATATTTCAACTTTAACAACAACCAATTCCGTACACAGCTGATCGAAATAGGAACGATTTGATTGAAAGATTCTGTCCAGCTTCATCCTAACCAATATTATCAGCAATAGGTTTGGCACTTGCATTATTAATCATAATATCAAGACCACTTTCACTAATCTGGCTCAGATTCACCAACGATAGCAGCAGTATGGACAGATCCAGACCTTTTCCAGTATCATTTGGGCTGGAAAATCACATGTACAATTTTATCACAATCAGTTAATTAAAAACAAATATAAAATTAAAACTAATGTCTCATCACTCTTGGAAAATGATAATACTTCCTTTCTATAATTCTATTTTATCAATACTTAAGTGGCTATCCACCTAAATGTGATAGATTCAGAAGTGACTAATGTGGCATTATGTCTGCAAATAGTTGAAAATATTGAGATTAAACACAAATTCTTCTTCTTTGAAGCCTTTAACAAAACTGTATTGGTGAGGAAACATATTGCTGCTGGATGTTAAGTGCACCAACTGGAAGCCACCGCAACAGCTTTGCAACAAAGTGAGTGGGAAACATGGTACAGCAATGATGAAATGGACAAAAAAAACTTCAACTGTTATCAAATATAAGGTCAGCCATTTATAAATATATGTGTGTGTGTATATGTGTCCATACACATGTGTGTTTTTGAAGAGTTTTTAAAACTTGTTAAACTCAAAAATAAAAATATACCCTTTTTTCAAAAAAGTTTTGGAACTATCCATCCACTCCCCCCCCCCCCCCTCCCCCCCCCCCCCCCCCCCCCCCGCCTTTTTTTTTTCCCCAAAGAGGAGATGTTACTGTTTGGAAGGAAAGTTCCCTTCCAATAAAACTTCAGGATTCTGAAATTCTGATGTGTTTTCTCTTCATTGTTCTGTCTCTTCTTCCTAGCTGGAGCTGGCTGAAACTCGTCAGTTCTGACTTTTACTAAAATAGCAACACAAAGAATATCTTCTACCTTCTTATTAGGATGTTTAAAAAATGTGATAGGATCTGGTCATTCCAGACAAGGCTCTTACAGCTTGTTTGGGTTCTGCTGGGTGATGCTGCTCTGCAAAACTACTGACATCTTTCATTTAATTGTGAAGTAAATTGATTCATGTAATTGTTTGTGTCATTCAATTCAGCAGGAGATCCATTTACTTTTTGTATCTGACTGATATATGTCAGGTGCTCTACCTCTCTAAAATCGCATCCCTAGCCTGACTAGAATAAAATTTATTATAAATTAATGTGAGATGGTTCGTCTTTTATCTTGAGCCTAGCTCTCCATGTCTGGCGGTTCGTTGCCACCTGTTTTAGGTCTTGGGTGTTTGTTAGGCCTTTCCTGATAATGGTTTTACGTAGTCTTATAAGTGTTACAAGTCTCTCTTGGTCTTGCCCTGTTTCTTTCCCCTGATTTGTCATTTGGGGTATGTTAAAAGTATTGAACATGAACGTACCAGCCAGCATTGGCCTGAACCGTAAGTAAGAAAAGATCTGGAAAAAAACAACTATAGAAGAAAACAAGGCATAAACGTACCAGGAATGGCCAGAACGACCCCAATAACTGCAGGTGACGGCTATCAGCAATGGCTTCTCTCTGTCTGACTGTCTGCTGCAGCTGCAGGGCTGCCAATTAGATTTTTATCAAAACCCAAGCTAAGCTGACCAAAAATCCCAAGCAACACAAAAGGCAAAGCACTAATCACAAAACCCAGGTATGATTAAAAGTACACATTTTGTAGTTACGAAACGAAACATCTACCCACTTTTATATTAGGATATATTTTTATTATATTTTTATATTTTTTATTTGACAATGTGAAACAAGAAGAAGTAATCAAACTGTTAGACAAATTAAACATTGATAGAAAAGATCTACGAACAATAAAGAATATATATTGGCAGCAAACAGCAGCTATTAACAACTGTATAGGTAAATTTCAAATCATAAAGAGGGGCGTACGTCAAGGATGTGTCCTGTCAACTGATTTATTTTCACTATACACTGAATATATAGTGAGATCTTAAATTGATATGCCCGGAATTGTGGTTGGTGGGCACAATTAAAACAATTTGCGTCATGCTAATGTCACAGTCTTGATAGCAACACGTCAGAAAGAACTACAGGAAATGGTAGACATTGTGGTGGTAGAAAGTGGAAGAATGGGCCTCAGTTTGAATAATGGGAAGACAGAAGTAATGGTGGTATCAAAGAAAAGAATTATTCCTAAATTTGTAATAAATGTCAATGGTGTTATTCTGGGACAAGTACAGAAATTTAAGTATCTGGGCACATGGATAACAGCAGATGACATAATAAACATAATAGGACAGGCAAAAACGGCATTTTATCAAATGAAAAACATCTTATGCAATATATCTTTGTCATTGAGGGTTAGAAAAAGAATTCTTGCTTGCTACACACATCCAGTTTTAACATATGGCGGTGAGTCCTGGCTAATTGGTAGGCAGGCAAAACAATTTTTAGAGGCCTCAGAGATTTGGTTTTACAGAAGAATGCTTAGAATACCTTGGACAGCTAAAAAGAGCAACCAAGAGGTTTTGAAAGAGGCGGCAGCTCAAATACATCTTATCATAGACATAAGAAGGAGACAGTTATGATTTTTCGGCTATGTTATGAGAAGAGGGAAACTGGAACATGTTGTGACCACTGAAAAGATCTGTGGAAGGAGGGACAGAGGAAGACAACGAGAAAAGATTCTTGACAGTCTTGCTGTATGGCTGAGGTGTGTCAGCACACGAACTGAAACATGCTGCAGGATATCGCAGATTGTGGAGTGACATGATCGCCCTTGCCAGTCAGCAAGGCACCTGATGATAATGATGATGATATTTTCAAAACCTGAGATTCCAAAATATGAACTCGTCATATAAAAACCTAGATCTTGGGGGAAAACCCAAGTATTGGCAGCTCTTGTCTGCAGGTTTCAGTTTCTGTTCTGCAGGCACAGCCAGGTTCCATTCCAGTGTTAAAGCCAAATTTGTATTGTGTGGCATTTGTCGTTATTGCAATCCAACATATGATGATCATACAAGTCCAGTAGAACCGGTAGAGATTTCATTTTTTCATCTGCTCAAGAATTATAAAAGAGATTAAAGGAAAGGTGTGATTCTGTTCACTCTTAAAAAAAAAAAAAATATATTATTACATTCTGTCGAATCGTTGGTACAGAAAGTCTGTTTTTAAAAAATATATATCGTGAGTATCTGCTGCTTGTTGAAGTTTTAGCAAGACCATTCCTCCACTAGGGTCGAAATTTGCGAATTTTAAAACAAAACTAAAGAATAACATACTCTGTAATGAGAATGATGAGTCAGATTGTTCATAGGATATTTATTTATTTATTTATTTGTTTTGAAAAGTAAGGAATGACTGCGATTTTAATTTGCAGAACTACATCGAGAAAATCACGAAAAGATTAACAAAATGCGTGCATTCTCTCTCTCTCTCTCTCTCTCTCTCTCTCTCTCTTTCTCCTTTTCTCTCTCTCTCTCTCTCTCTCTCTCTCTCTCTCTCTCTCTTTCACCTTTTCTCTCTCTCTGCCCCCCTCTCTCTCTCCTGCAGTCTTCATTTTGACTGTCTTTGTCTTTGCTACATCCCCTTGCAGCGTCCCAGGGCTCTCAAATTTGATCGAGATTGCTACCGTCCTACTGGACAGTCCCGTGGGGAAGGGCTGTAGCGCCCACTTTAAACACTGAGGTATATCATCTCTTCTTGTGCATACAACCTTTGCACTTCTGATCATTAGGATGACTGGACTTCCTCTTATTCGGCTCAGTCCTGAAGAAAACAGGAAGTCACGACTGCTAAGGTAGACAACAACAGCACGAAGCGACCTGAAGAAGACGAGGATTCGCTGGAGGATTTGTTACGATTGTGGACGCTACTGTGATTGGCACCTGGGTGAGTACACGCACTTTTTCTCTAGAAAAAGTCATGTCCAAGATAACAGAGTTCTTGTATAATGTGATGGAATGAGAGATATTCGAGAACATCGAGCAGACAGAGATAAATGATGCTGGACGGTTTAAGATATCAGCATCAAGGAGCATCCGCATTCGAATTGATCATGATTACAAAAGGCCGAGAACTGTGAAGGTAACTTAAAGCGCACTCTATTTGGGACATCAGGTAATGATGATGATGATAGTAATGATGATGATGGTGGTGATAATGATGATGATGATGGTGATAATGATGATGATGGTGATGATTATGAAGGGTTAACAACTCATGGTTTCTAGATATAAAAAAAAAAAAAAAAACGACACGTGCCGAATTCACAAAGCGACACCTACATCTGTGAAGACAAGGCACAATAAATTTCCATTTCCTGATGTTACATTTAGCTACCCAGCTATTGTGCAGGCAGACAGTTGTGCGCCGTGTATAGAAAATACACAAATAAGCCCTCTTCCTTTTCCATAGTTCTTATCAAGGATGACGTGTATCTAAACAAATTTGATTATAAATAAGTTGCTTTGGCATTCACTACATCGATGATTGTCCCAGACACCTTCATTGTTTGCGCCTCTTCGATAAACTTTGAACATCGACGAAGGAGAGAATGATCAAGTTAATGGCTTTTTAATTTTATTTTGTGAATTTTTTTTTTCAGAGCCAGTTTTAAAAAGCAGCTAACAACCCAAGCAGACAAAATACAGCAAGTATAAGGAAGCATAATATCACCCGATGGGGACAATATCGATGCAGAGATAGAATATAGATGTAACAAAGCCCCTTGAAATCATTGGATAGATGTCATCAATACTGCAGTATAAACTCGTAACAACTGACAAAAACATTGTGTTACCAGTGACAATCGTGGATGTTAACAAAAAAAAAAAAAAAAAAAAAAAAAATAATGGGGGGGGGGGGGGGGGGGGGGGGGGGGGGGGGGGGGGGGGGAAGGAAGGTAAATATAAACAATAAAATTCAGGTCTTTTCGACGAACAAAAAATATAACTAGAAGAAACAGGATCAGATTTGACGATTTTAGCGGTCAAAATAACAACGTCCTGTCCCCAATTCTGTCTCTCTCCAACCCCCGATCTACTGACCGCTCAATATCATTCCATAGCCACATAGGACCCTGACAGTGGAAGCTAGCTGTCTCAGTGCTTGCATCATAATCATCATCATCATCATCAGGTGCCTTGCCGACTGGCGTGGGCGATCATGCCTCTCCACAATCCGCGATCTCCTGCAGCATGTATCAGTTCGTGTGCCGACACACCTCCATGCCATGCAACAAGACTTTCAAGAATCTTCTCTCGTTGTCTTCCTCTATCCCTCCTTCCACAGATCTTTCCAGTGGTCACAACATGTTCTAATTTCCCTCTTCTCATAAAATGGCCGAAAAATGATGACGGTCTCCTTCTTGTCGTGAAATGATAAACCATTACACATCAGTCTGTAAGACTGGTAACCTAACTTACCTGTAAATTTTCACAAAATTTAAACTTGGACTCGCCCGGAAAGATATAGTCCCTTATATCTATATATATAGGCCTTTATTGGACAACATTATTATGTCTACCTTTTCTGGTTACTTAAACTAAACTCCACTTTTAAATGTATATATCTTTGATATATATTAAGGGAGTTATTTGAGGTTTCGTGGAAACCGATTTACTCCTTGCTCATGTATACTAGGGACTTCTTTTTTTACCAACGCCTGAAGTGTCTAAGTGACGCTATTCTCTTTGCCAGCTTCCTAGCGTCCAGACGTGTCAATCTATGCCTGTATTATTTCATTTTTCAAGGCGATCTGGAATGTCTCAGTTTTTACATATGCTTGGGTAAGTTAATTATAGTTTACAAGTACCTAAAATGATGTCTGTAAAGTAGTCACTGCTGTAGAGAGATCAGTATCGGCTGTGTGATCACACTTAGTTCGACCTTTCTTGATCGCTAGAGAAGCGGATTCGAACGTAGACCTTCCCCTGTACAGACTAAATAGCTTATGCCCTCAATAACCACCCATACTGGTAAAACTTAATACCCTTACAAGTGTGTACGTTTTAAACTAACTATAGAAGTTGTGCATACAAAATGGGGACATAATTAGGTCAGGACTTTGTTAACCAGAGTATGGAGTGTGGTTGACCCAGATCAATGAATGCTAGGGCGGGCTTTGGGAAGTCTAGGGAATGCAGGTACTGACAGTAAATATTGGTGTATGTGTGCAGAGGGAGTCGAGAGAGAGAGTGATATATGTGTAAGAACACTCTATCTATCTCCACTATATATCTGACTTGCCTTCTCTTGCATTAAACAGACAGATGAATATAGGAGACTTATGTCTCTTGGTCTGGAAAGGCATTCTGAGGAATGAAACAGGAGAGCAGGGGGGAGTAAGCAGATGGGGGTTGATGACTGATGCTTGTTCTGTCTTTCCTGTCTAGATGTTACCCTCTTGGTGATGACTAATTCTGAGTTATTTTCTTGACAGGATAAATCCTTTGTGAGGAGCTGGCAGAAGTTTCACAGTCCAACCAACACCCACCAATCAATCAATCAATCAACCAATCAATCAATCAATCAAACAACCCTAAACTAACTGTTACCCACCAGCTAACACCTGTGAAGGTTCCTGACATCATCAATATGCTGGAGCTCATAACTCAAACAGACTACCAGTGATAGAGTTTAGTATAGCTCAAAGACCTTGTATGTCCTAACTAGTGATAGAGACTTGCTGGGTGCCAGTACAGTGCTGTGTCCTCTGGTGAGGTACTCTCTTAATACTTGATCTAGTGGAGCAGAATTCCCAGAGTCAAAGACAGTCGAATCATCCGGAGCTGATGGAGGCATCATAGACAGAAAGGATAGAAGCTAAGTCTGATGCTTCATGTGCTGTTTTTTCCCCTCACAGCTCCTATGTTTCCCAATGATGACATATAGTCACCTCCAGGACCGGCTGTCTGTATAGTTTCCTCGGGATCTAGACATTATTTGCTGAGATTCTTCCACTGATAGCTGGAATTCACTTCATTACTATATGTAAATCCATAATATACTGATTACATGCATTCATTTTCATGGCTGACTTAGGTTTCTCTATGTCACCTTCTTAAGTGTTTAGCAGTTGTGTGTGTATGTATCTTCATTATATGTGTTAACATGGTTATGATATTGAACTATCATAACCTGGGGGCTTTCTTTAGTAAGTAGTGGGGGTGTTCAGCCAAGTGTGCCTAGAAATATTGTATTCACATACTGACATATTAGACCAATACGAGCCAAACGACTCAACATAATTATCTCTGAGTGCTGTTGGTTCTGAAGGAGAAATCCTTACATTAGGCACGCGACAGGAGTGATATGTGACACTTCTGATGTCTGTGATAAGTTGTCTTCGGGCTCCCGCCTCTTTCAAAACCTCTTGGTTGCTCTTTTTAGCTGTCCAAGGTATTCTAAGCATTCTTCTGTAAAACCACATCTCTGAGGCCTCAAGAAATTGTTTGGCCTGCCTACCGGTTGTCCAGGAATCACAGCTATATGTTAAAACTGGATGCATGTAGCAAGCAAGAATTCTTTTACTAACTTTCAATGACAAGGATATATTACACAAGATGTTCTTCATTTTATAAAAATGCAGTTTTTGCCTATCCTATTCTGTGATAGAACACATCATTGTCGTACGCCCCTCTTTATGCTTTGAAACGTACCTAAACTGTTAGAAAAATTAAACATTGATGGGAAAGATCTACGAATAATAAAGAATATGTATTGGCAGCAAACAGCAGCTATAAGAATTAACAACTGTTTAGGTACATTTCAAAGTATAAAGAGGGCCTACGACAAGGATGTGTACTTTCACCTGATTTGTTTCTAATATACAGTGAATATATTATGAGATCTTTAATTGATATGCCCGGAATCGTGGTTGGTGGGCACAATATAAACAATTTACGTTATGCTGATGACACAGTCTTGGTAGCAACAAGTAGGAAAAAATTACAGGAAATGATAGACATTGTGGTGTTAGAAAGTGGAAGAATGGGCCTCAGTTTGAATAATGGGAAGACA